TACATATGTATAATTACTTACATTTTTTTAGATATATCGGCAAAGATGCAAGAGTACCTTTATCACTGTGCAATGTACCGTCCCTGAACGCGCGAACTTTAGACTACCTGATTTGTCTATTATAAATGCTTCCCATTTGAAAAGTATTATAGCCTCGACATTTTCGTATTGGGATTTTCGTCTTACATTTTGCTCAAAAATATGTTATTAAAATTTCGGTCACGAATTGCGGTACACCCTGTATATAACGTCAACGTCTACTCGAAAGGATATTGCGAAACATATGGATCATACCCTTCAAATTGTTATTTTTGTAACACTTTCATCGTCATAGACCAACGCCCACTAACCCTAATACTAACCCAACCCTAACCTAATAAAAGGGCATCTCGAAATGCGCATTTCATTATTCGAGTTTGCATCGCGAGGCATGTGCATTTCATCATTCGAGTTTGCACCGGTTCTTCACAATGACCACAATGTTCGCACGCATCATAGTTACCTGTACAGTAGCTACGATGCTTATATGTGTATTATATTGTCGCTGAGTGTAAAGTCATCAACAAAAACAATGAAGTGGCGATACAGTATCTGCAGAAATACGGTTTTTTGAACGAGACGATGGATACGTTTGCCACCAGTGAAGATCAGCTGGTTCTTCGACACGCTATCAATCTCTTTCAAGAATACTACAGATTACCTGTCACTGGTAAAGTGGACAACACAACTCTAAGCCTGATGAGTAAACCGCGATGCGGTCTACGTGACATATTGAATTTCGGAGAGGGTAAAGTTATACCTAAGTGGCCGAAACGACACTTAACGTGGAATTTTCACTTGGCCACCAGAGCGCTCTTGGATACAACTCAGGCAGCGTTCGATTTGTGGCAGAAACATTCGTCGCTAACATTTGAACGTGCTGTTGAAAACCCAAATATTCTGATATCGTGGCGCGAAGGCCATCATATGTTCCTCGATCGTCGAAACGGTGAATTGTGCTCGAGCGTTTTGGACGGTCCCGGCGGCACGTTGGCTCACGCTATCTTCACTTCTATCCCAATGGAGCGCCGGATTTCACGTCGGAGGTTCACGTCGACAGGATGGAACAGTGGCATATATATCTAGATATGGGTCCACCGAACGAATATAATTTGCTGTACGTGTTGACTCATGAAATCGGTCATTCGTTAGGGCTAGATCATAATCACGACACTACGTCGATAATGTATTCATTCATACCTGACAGTACTTTTCCTGTCACACTAAACAACGAGGACATTATAAACATACAAAATCTATACGGCGCTACGGATACCGACGTGTTACCGCAAACGACTCCCAGACCGCCACCACCACCACCACCACCGCAGCCAACACCAAGCGTTCCACCGGATCTGTACGCCTTGAAACGTGTTGATGTGATATTACTGTTGGAACAACGAATGTACGTAGCGTACGGAAAACATATGGGTGATTAACATAGATGGAAAGACCTACACAGAACCTCTGCTGCTTTCACACTACATGCCATTCATTCATTCAAACTTCACGCGCATTTCAGCCGCGTATCAAACTCCATCCGATCACTTGATTCTATTCGTTGACGATAGAATCTATAAAGTGAACTACCCAGACTTCACGCAAGTACCAACGTGGCCGAGAACTCTCAAAGACTTTGGAATTCCTATGGATGCAAAAATAGACGCTGCCGTGAACACTAACAAAGGAAAGTCTTACGTGTTATGCAATAGACATATCGTCGGTGAGATAGACGACTGCTCCGACAGCATTAGCAGGTTTCACACCATTGAGTCGACTTTTCCTGGCATACCAAACGGAGTGACGTCAGTCTTCAGATTAGAGTT